GGGGGGGGGGGGGAGGAAGGGAGAGAATTGGGGGATTAGACCAGAGAAGAAGAGAACAAGAGGGGAAGGCACGAGAATGCAAAGCTTATTTTCATTCAATTCATCATCTTCATCATCTCCTTCCAATTACATTACACATTCATTTATATAGGACAAAAAGACCAAACCTAAAGCATAAAAGGGCCTTGGGCTAGCCCAATTCAACTAATAAAACATAAAATAAATACATCCAAGTAGAAGCCCAAAATAGGTGATGTCCTCATAACATCTGCCCACTTTTTCATTCACTTCCAAGTCTTTTCCAAACAAGCTCGAGCCACATCAGCATGTTTTCCCCAAGACTTTAGCCATTTTTGTGGCCCCCAAACTTCAGCCTAAGTCACCAACCGAAGATAATGAATGGGGCGTGAGTGGTTGTCGGCCCGTTGCTTATTCAAAGGGGCTCTGGCCAGTCGATTCACTCTTTTGCAGATTATATGAAAACTGGGCTATAGCCAACAACTTTGCCCAATCTTGCTGGTTGGCACTAACGAAGTGCCTGAGGTAACATTCCAACAGCGAATTCACTCGTTCTGTCTGTCCGTCTGTTTTCGGGTGAAAGCTGCTGGAAAAATGCAGATCTGTTCCCAAGAGTTCAAATAATTTTGTCCACAACTTCCTCATGAAACGAGGATCACGGTCACTTACTATGTTTCGAGGCAGTTCCCAATACTTAAACAATATTTTTGAAGAACAGCCTTGCTGTCTCTTCAGCTGTGCAATCTTTTGGTGCTGGAATGAAGGTTGTATATTTCGAGGACCGGTCAACACGAACAATAACAGAGCCAAACCCATCTGATTTCGGCAACGCACTGCTAAAATCCATGGTTAACATATCCCATGGCTGCTCAGGGATTGGAAGAGGATCAAGTAGACTTGCCGACAGCCTGTTTTCTACCTTGTCTTACTGTCACACAAGACACGTTCTCACATAAGTATCCACCTGATCCTACGTATGAGGCCAATAGTATGCTCTTTCGATCAGGGCCACGGTTTGATCAATCCCCGGATGTCCAGCCCATTTTGTCTCATGGCATTCCCGAATAATATCCTGTCTCAAATGGTTCCAGTTGGGAACAAATACCCGTTGTCCAGTGGAGTAAAGCAGCCCATTTTCCACACAGAATTTTCGAGTTTTACCCTCTCGAGCAGCCTGCATAAAGTCCTTTGCAACCGGGTCATGTTCCAGACCTTCTTTGATTAATCCCAACAATGTTTCGGTCACTTGGCTAATGGCCGAAAGTTCTGCTTTTTGGCTGAGGGCATCGGCCACCACATTGGCCTTTCCCGGCTTATACTCCAACACAAAATCAGATTCAGCTAAGAAGTCTTGCCACCATACCTGTTTCGGACTTAGCTTCTTTTGGGTCTGAAAATAACTCGTTGCCACATTATCTGTTTTAGTTACAAAACGAGAACCAAGCAAGTAGTGGTGCCATACCCGCAAGCAGTGAATAATTCCGGTCATTTCCTTTTCCTGCATCGTATAACGATGCTCTCTCATTTAGTTTTAGGCTTTCAAATGCAATTGGATGACCATCCTGCATCAACACACCCCCGATAGCAAAATCTGAAGCATCAGTTTGTACCTCAAAATACTTGTTAAAATTTGGCAACACCAGAACAGGTTCTGCCGTAATGGCTACCTTCAGGTTATCGAAGGCCCTTTGACACTTAATCGACCAATCCCACCTTTGATTCTTTCTCAAAAGATCCGTCAAAGGGGCTGCTCGAGATGAGTAGCCCTAGATGAACTTCCGATAATAATTCACAAGGCCCAAGAAAAACCGCAACTCCGTCACCTTAGTTGGCAGTTCCCAATCATTTATGGTCTTTATTTTTGCCTCATCCATTGGCAACCGGCCAAACCCGATTACATGACTAAAAAAATTTACTTCCTCTTTGGCGAATGAGCACTTCTCCTTCTTTATAAACAACTCATTCTTCCACAGTACTTTGAAAATGATTCCCAAGTGTTCGACATGTTCATCCAACGAATTGCTGTAGATGACAATGTCATTGGGGTAGACTATCTCTAACGGCTGAAAAATCTGGTTCATCAAATTGCAAAACGTGGCTGGAGCATTGGTCAGGCCGAAAGGCATGACAAGCCACTCAAATGACCCATACCAACTGATGCAAGCAGTTTTTGGCTCATCACCCTCTGCTATTCGGACTTGGTAATATCCCTTTTGCAAATCCACCTTTATATAGATCTTCGCACTGCCAAGTCTATCAAACAAATCGGCAATTAAAGGAATGGGATATTTATTCTTTTACCTTATTTAGCGCCCGGTAGTCAACACACATTCGCAAGGAGCCGTCTGCTTTCTTTTGGAATAGAACCGGGGCGCCATAAGGGGCCTTTAAGTGTCTGATCCTTCCAGTTTTAACCAATTCCGCCAACTGTTTTCGGAGTTCCTCCAAATTCGGGGGAGCCATTCAATATGGAGACATTGTTGGAGGTTTAGCACCTTGTTCCAGCTCAATCCGATGATCCACCCCCCTTCGGGGTGGTAATTTTTTGGGCAATTCAGGTGTTATTAAGTCCCGATTTTCCTCCAAAACATTTCTGATCTTAGTAGGTAAAACTGCATCATCAATAATAGTTTCGGACTCGGCTGCCAACTGAGTAATAAATGTTGGCTCGCCCCTTTTCAAATCCTTAGCCAGCTGCATGGCAAAAAGTTGGCTGGCCTCCGTACTCACGGAAATTGTGGGAATCAAACAAGAGGAACCTTTTTCAAGAATACAAACAGAACCAAACGAAGGTAAAGGTATAGCGTTTACCTTTCGCAAGAAGTCAAGTCCCAATACCAGCTTGAAGTCATCCATTGATGCAACGGACAAGTCAATGGGTCCCCTTCAAGAACCCTAGCTTAGTTTTGCTCCCCGAACTAGACTGACCAGAGGCTTGGTTGCCGCATTCACAGTTTTCAACATTCCGCCCCCATGCTGGACATTAAGTCCCAGTCTACGAGCTTCACCCTCCGTATTAAAGTTATGCGTGGCCCCCGTATCTACGAGAGCCTGCACCTGCTTCCCATTCATTTGGGCCTGCACATACATCAGCCCTTTCTCCCTGTTCAAACCCAGAACGGTCTTAGCATTAAGAGCATTAAACAACGGGAGACATGAGTTTGGGGCAATCTCGCATGAAATGCGGCCCCTTACAAACAAAACACTCCCGTGGTGCAACCTTTCCTTTCTTCTTTTCATCATACTCTTTCCGCCAAGGACATTGTTTGTTGCCAACGGGTTTGTAATCAGCCTTATAATTCGGTTTCCAAGCAGGCCTGCCCGGCAGCTTATCCTTTTTCCCCTCATTCCTGCCTTTGCCAAAATTCCCTTGGCAGGTTTGGTTGGCTTTGCCTGCGTTTCAGCATTTTTCTAGAATTCGGTTAATGACTCCGCCACAACAATGGCTTCGTCCACTGTCTTAACTCCCCGACACTGCAGTTCCTGT